CGAAAAATTAGTAAAATGTCAAATCCGTTAATTCTTAAATTAAATTTGAAATGATAAATCTTAAATATGGAAGCATATTTGATGATTGATGAAAATTTCTGTTTAAAGTAATATCTGGATGGCTCAAACTTTTCCGCGTACATATAATAAGAAAGAATTTATTAATTAATTGTTGATGTATTAAAAAGATTTTTAATTAAGAACATTCTTAAGCAATTTTGTTTTAGTTTTATTTTCTTTTTTAGTCTTTCAATCTGAATTTTTAACACAATAGCGTGTCTTAAAATCAGTGAGCGGCTTTTTCCTCGGAAAATCCCCACAGACTATTAAAAATTTATCACCAAATACCGAATAATAAATGCAACATTTAGCTTAACTTCCCTTAACTGGTACAATTCCACTTTCATTTTTTTCTTATGTAAATATTAGCTTTCACCCTCTGACTCCACTTCGTTTGAAATCATTTTATTAAAATATCCCACACTTTCTAATAAAAGCACTGTTCAAAACTTGATTAAATTTTCTCTTGGTGGCAAAAAAGTATAGCTCGATTGATAGTAATCTACCCCTAATCACATCTTGCTTTAATTTCAACTTATCAGTTTCTACTAGACTAAATTTTTTCTCAAACAATATAAATTCTTAAGCTCACAATATTTCCAAACTTGAAATTGTTGCTTCTTTTCCAGTCTTTGACAAACTCTGAATTCCAATCAATAGTATCTCAAAGGTTCAAGGAAACGTTTATATTTTATAGGAATCTATTCAGCTTCATCTTTTCAAAAGCCAATACCAAACACTTCCAGTGCATACAGATACTTGCCCTCTTTTTAAGGCATACTAGGATCTTACTACAGCCCACGGCTCGAAAATTACTACAAAAAGAGGTGAATTTTAAATTCTTCTTGTGTAAGTGACTAGTTTTGAGGAAATGAGGTGTGGGCAAGTATCCAAAGCGACCGAAATTCCTGGGATATTCAAGGGAATATCTAAAGGATTTTGTATTTTTTATGCATATAGATCGAACGAAAGTTGACATTTTCACTCGGTTTGGTGAATGAAGAGGTTCTATCTATAATGGGTATGCGGGTGTCAATATGAGACCCTCAAATGGTTGCGTTTTATGTAACTTGGATCAGATTCACAAATAAAGGAGGATTTTACGTGTTCTAACTGACAAGAATATAAATAATAAATAAAAACTGAAATAAATGTATATGGAGCCACAAAATGCTTGTATTTTTACTCATTTACGAGAAAAATAAATGCGATTCTTAAGAATGGAAAAATAATGTATATACAACCAAGACAGTTGTTCGCAGAAAATTCTATAAGTTCCAAACTTCCAGCAATCAAAACGAAAGATAGATGAATACGAATACCTATGTTTTCTTGTTTGTCGTAGGAATGCTGTGAATAATTCATATATGATGAACACTTTTAGGTACAACAAAAATCATTAAAACCGAAAAACCCCATCATTTCTGCCTCACACACAAACGAAATAACTCATTTAATAACCGACTTTTCTTTTTTGCCAAAAGCTTACTTTTCTTCATTAACGTGGAACATGAAAAGATAATGCAGTGGACCAGAACGAATTGCGTGTTTCTCTCACTGTGGTTAAATGAAATTACATGCCGTCAATCTAAATACCTGGAGCTTTAATTAAACTCGAAATTTGCTTTGCTGAAGCAATGCTGAAAAAATACACGTAAAGGAATTATTATTTCATTTGGACAACGCACAGTCTAAAAAGAGCAAACTATTTAGGGGTGAATGAGATAGCGGCACGAAAGAGTTTTAATGGTATTGTTTTACGGTCACTGTGTGAATAGAGAGTTCTTGGTGTTTAACCCTGCTGAGATTTAACTAGAAATGCATGAAATTCTGGATTCTAAAATGAAAAAGGTCTCAGATCTAGGTCTAAGAATTATTACATAACGACAATTTATTGCAGTAACCCTGCAACTACTAGGATATTCTGTACAATGATGTGAAGGAAATTATAAGTTACAGTCTTAGATATATCATTTTTTTATTGTTTTTTATGTATACTAAATTAAAAAATACTTTTGTTTTCAATATTCATTCAATAAAGTTTTTTTACTCAGTTTTGTATTTTATAAAATCTTTAGCTTTTTAACTTCTTATCATTGCAAATGCAATTTTGGAGCTTGACTAAATTAATAATTGGTAATTTTCAAAAGCTGTTTTCAGTATAGATAATAAGTTTTCCTACGAACTCTGACATTCCCAACTTCTTTCTTTACTTTAAGCAAAAAAGATTTTAGTGTCATACTAAACCCTTGAAATATTTACTTTTTCTGCTAAAGTAGTTTAATACTATTTTAAGTTTCGCGGTGATATGTGGCTCTTAAAACTTCCCCTGACTTTTACTCTAACTTACTTTCCACATCTTTGATAAACTTTCAATTTATTTGGAGTAATAAATTTCCCTCCAGGTGAACTGTACATTATTTTTGCATGATCAATTTCCAGTAAATCCATTTTCCTGAGTAATCATCCCTCGAAGCTCGTGTTACAATTAACTTGTAATCTTCTTTCGGTAATGAATGACTTGTAAAAAAATTGATTTCAAGTAGAAATCTGTCTGACGAATGAAAAATTTAATGTAGATTGCCACAGCGTGCTAGAGAATTCTTGCTCCTGATAATAAATAGTTTGTTTTACGACACCCTCGCATTTTAAGAATGAGGCCAAAACAAAATTGGGAAAAGGGTCCAGTGATTTATCAGGAGAAACAAATAAGATACAGGGTGGTCTCATTTGCTTTTAACTTATATTCACTGTAAACGAAGCACCTGGACGTGTTTCGTTTAAAAAGCGGCAAAATTGGTAATTCTGCAGCAGCTCCATTATAAACTTTGTTAAATTTTATCCTCTCATGTATCTCAAAAACTCCGGTAATGAAATTTTAGTTCTTTTCGGTTGTGTGAGGATCTAAATATAGCTTGCGTTCCGGTCACCCCCCCATAAAACCACCTCTCGTTTAGCAAACTTGGCACTTAATCAAAACCACCGAACTGCTGGCATGAATAAGTTATAAGGCGACCCGTTCACGGTTTACCTCTTTGGTAAAGTCCGTGTTTAAATACTGGAGATAATCCCAGAAGACTGTGTGCAAACACTTGAAATTACGGTGTGTGTGCCTTAGCCAGAAGCAAGACATGCATTCGCACCTAATTGGAATTGATGGTGCTTTCAATATGGCACAAGGGAGCGTTTTTGAATGGGGATGAAGCCAGAAAAAAAACCCGGAAATAATTGAGTGGGGGACACCGATTAAACGGAGCGCATTGATAGAGATTAATTGCTTTATAAAGGAGATTATTCTGTAATGTAACCGAGCTACGGAAAGTCCCATAGTGGTGAATAATCGATTGCTGAGATGTTTTATATCCTTCAGCATAGTTATTAATATTCGCTATTACTGCAGAAAGGGCTTTTTGAAATTTCCTTTTAATTCAGCAAGATATTGATTTTTCATTTAGACCTTTTAAGGATATTTTAAATTTAGCTCGACTGGCAGGGTAAAAAGTATGACAAGAGTCCACTCTTTTTCCGTTTGAACTTCTCAAGGCAACGAATTAGAGAGACGTTCCGTCGTGAAAAGTACAGAGAAGCAAAAAGCAGAATCGAAAAAAATTCACAAGTTGGGAGCTTGATTCCGATTGATTTTGTTAATTAAAAGGTTATATGGTCAAAGCTTAGGAACAGTTGTCCATAAGCACGTGGATTTAATAAGCCATTAGATAGATTGTTAGATAATAGATAATAGATTGTTATATTAAAATAAAATTATGTAACAAATCCTCCTTTTGGAGGTTGCCAGCTAACTCGAGGAAAGTAGGGTTCTCTGATTGAATGTATAGTTTTTACATTAGAATATAGGAAGTAAATAAATAATAATAATAAATAATCATGTTATAATTTTGACATTTATTTTTTGACATTTGATTTTTTTTATGTCTATTTAATGATACTGATGATCTTGTATATGTTTTTTTATAGATATTTAGTAACGGTACAAAAATTTTGGCAATAAAAGCCACAAATAACATTAAACAGAGTTACAATTTAGGAAGTGCTTTCTTGTTTCCTCTTCTAAAAGCCTGTAGCAAGAAAACTTGGAAAATTATTTTTCTAACAGAAATAAATAATCAAAGTAAAAAATTTAAAATCTCATAACTCCGAAATTTTTATAGATAGGATTTTTTTAACATTCCTGGTATAACATTTTTCTCTGGGGCGCGAGTTCTGGCGCATCCTGTATACATTTATTCACAATCACTAATGTAACTCTAATGTTCTCTAAATTTTAAACGGTGTAACTTGGTATAGAGGTAAGTTGGGTCACATTATGTTGATCTGGGAAATCTCAGGTTACTCTTTCTCTCCATCTTTTCGTTACACCCTGTATAACGTATAGGTACGAACATCAAGTTCAAATTCATTACATTCTTCATTTAAAACAGTTTTTCTGCTCCTGACAAAACGGGATTGTTGCAGATACGTTCTTAGACGTCGAAATTAACAATAATAAATTGAAATTTGTTACCATGTCATTTAAATTAGCTCAAATCCGGTGAAACATTCCTTTAAAGCATGTGCTGTTTAAATTTCATAAATAACAAAAATTGGCTTTTATCACAAAAGATGCGACTTGTTGAGTTTTGATTACCTTTTAACTTGAAAATTTGTTTTCCATTTGAAATTGCTTGATTATAAAGAAGCTTTTATCGAACAAAATCTTCACTTCCATCCAAAGTTTCATAAGCAGATTCAAAATAATCCGATTATATGCAACAAACTTTATTCGCATACATATTTGTTATCAATATTTTGACCAGAATGCGATTTCCCTGATGTTTCAAAATGTTAAACAATTATGCACAGTTAACAGCCCCGGGTTAATAGTAAAGTTGAAAATGAACCTTGTTATAAACTCCACTAAAATTCAGTTTATTTTTTTTTAGATGGAGGGGTTGGTGAGAGAGATGCAGGACACGGAGCACGGGGGCGTTCCAGTTCGAAGCCAAAAATTATTCCTTACATCCATTCCTGCCGCTTTCATGGGTAAGTCCATTCACAACGAATCGAAACGCAGCTTTAAATATGCAAACCCAAACAGATTGCGGTTATTAAAGTGATCTGTTTGTTGCGACAAAAGCGTTTTTTAATTAAACCACAAACCGTTCTGAATATTTCATTTCAAACCTCGAACGTTATTTTACACAGGGTACGACCTAATTGAATGGCTGATGGAGCGTCTCGGGATTGAAGAATCCGGTAAGCTGAAACTTTTTTAATAAAAGTTAAATATACTTATGATAAGTTTGGCTTTCCAGAGGCTCTCAATTTAGCCAATCAGCTATGTCAGTATGGCTACTTTTTTCCCGTGAGCGATTCGAAAAACCTAGTTGTGAAAGATGATAGTTCGTTGTATAGATTTCAAGTGAGTCAAATCAACTTTCAACGAAATAAATCTAGCAACAGATCGGTTTTAGTCTCCATATTATTGGCCTTGGCAAAACAGACCGCCGGATAACATCGAATACGCGATTTACTTAGCGAAAAGAACTTTAAGGAATAAGCAGAGACATGGTTTAGAGGATTACGAGTTGGAAGCTTTGAGCAACTTGAGGAAAAACTTGGCGAACAAGTGGGATTTTATTACAATGCAAGCAGAGGAACAGGTTTGTTAGATAAAATTTGCAAATCCGAGGAAAACAGGGAAATTTCAGGTGAAACTATCAAAAGTTCTGAAAAAAGGCGACAAAATCATCAGTGATTCGCAAGAGAGAGCATATTGGCGGGTCCATAGGCCACCGCCTGGGATGGTCACTTCGCTGGAACAATGCCCCGTCCCTACGCGCAGCTGGAACGGCTCCAGGACCCGAAAACGAACCATAGAAGATTGCAGACGAGAAGTAAGTCGTCCTTTATTCATTCCTGACCCAGATTTTGACCCCTTCCAGGTTGAACTGTTGAAAAATAGTCTGTCAAGGACTAGAGTTAAAGTATCGCAGGCACTGGAAAGTATGGTCCAGCATGTTGAAACGTACGCGGAGTATGACCCTCTCATAACACCAACGCAACCTTCCAACCCTTGGGTCAGTGAGGACACCACGTACTGGCAGTTGAACAGTCCACTGTAAGTAATTATCTTGAAGGGACTTCGAAATACTCTCAGTGTTAACGAGTCACGTAACAACACAAACTTCACGGCCGCTTCTGTTATTGCTTTATTTAGCAAACTTCAAATATACACCAGCTTTTGTTCCCAAAACTTACTCCTCTCTCATACAGACAACGCAAATATTTAATCCCGGAGAAAGTTATCTTACACGCGGTGATTAATTTAATGGTTCCATTCCGTAAACAATTTTACTCGTAAGTCCAGATAAATTATTCCATCCGGATATTGAGAAGTCGTTTTATATTTAGTTGCTTCGGTCGTTCTATTTTAAGCTATAGAGCTTTCTAATTCGATTCTTTCCGTTGCTGTAAATCAATTTTCTGTACTTCTTCGACACAAAATCGCGTCTTTATGTTCAAGCGTCTTTGGTTATATTTTATTCGATTTAGCTGCACCATATTTCAATTTTGTAGAATATATATCTAAACATTGTTTTGACTATTTTAGAGTTGAAGTTCCGACAGAAAAACGTGTGAGACGTTGGGCCTTATCTATGGAGGAGCTAGTTTCAGATCCTACAGGTTTACAGGAATTTACTAATTATTTAAGGAAGGAATACAGTCATGAAAACATCAGATTTTGGATGGCCGTTAATGATTTAAGACGCTCTGCTCAATCTCAAATCCAAAGAAAAGTTAACGAAATTTTTGAGTACGACGCAATATTTTTAATAGATTTGCACTGAACGTAACAATTGCAGGGAATTTTTGGCCCCTGGTGCTCCGTGTGAGATAAACATTGATGGTAAAACTATGGAAAAAGTCCACCAAGAAATGAAAACACCCAGTAGGTTCACTTTTGATGCCGCACAAGAACATGTATATACATTGTTGCTGAAAAAAGATTGTTATCCTAGATTTATTAGGTCCGAATATTACAAAAATCTTTTGGCGACGGGAATCCAACCTTCCCAGAAAAAGCGGTAAGTCTACATCCACATTTTGTTTACCAAGCACGTGTTTGATGATCCTTAAATGTGTTCTTATCAATTACTGATAATTTATTGCCCACTTTATCATTGAAACCAGGCCGTTAGTTCGTCGTGTGGGTGGATTAACGCGAGCTTCTCGAGAACTCCTTTATGACAATCACGCTTCTCTCCCAAATCCATAAATTCCAACGTTCATTTTCTAATCCAAACAAACTTCAACCGATATTTTTAAATCGCGAATTTTCAACAAATCCGCCTCAGTACGCTTCCGATCATGCATTTATCGGTAACATTTCTTCTCAGCTTTTTCGGTTTCGGCCAAACTAAGAAGAAAACTTCGACGAGTAGTGCGCCCAATCAGCAACTGTTGCAACAGCAGTCTTCTCAGGGGGCTTCTGCGACATGCGGCGCCCTGTCGAAACGCCGAGGAAGCGACCGCAGTCTCTCAGGATCAGCCCACGAACTTGCCGTTTCCGGAGTTAAAGACTCCAAGGTGCCACACTCACATTCGCAGAGTAATCTGAGCGACATCCCGTACAGGTAAATCGCGGAAATATTGAAGTGATCAGTGCCCAAGGCTGCACGGCGCATGGCTTTCATGGCGCTCAGTGTACCCACATGTGTTACTGTTAGGGCACACTATACCGGAGCCCACCCGGAAACTAACAATGCGGGGTTGGGGACGGCTTTTGCACAGAACAACAACGCAAAATTTTTAAATTTAAAGAATGACAAGTTGCAAAGAGTTAACTAGAGAGTTTATATTAAGAAACACTTAAATAGTGTAATGTGCTATAAACGCATCCTTTAAAAAATATCTCGGAAATTTGAATCGTCATTGTGTAAGGTCAAAGTTTTAGCAAACAAAGAAAAGTTCTTAAAGGTATTTTTTTAGTTACACTATAATAAATTAATGCAAATTATTGATGACTAGAGACCGAATTTTAAGTAAAATGCATTTTTGATTCGTGATAAAACGCCAGCATTCGTCCTAAAACGACAAATAAAACCTTTTTTTGTCCTAAAACCATAATTTTAACATTTTTTCATTTTTTTTTTAACTCAAATGATTTATTTTTGTTTTTAAACTTTATTTCGGAATTTTGTTATCGCCTTTATACCACTTTATATTTTTGATCCACAATCACTCTATAAAGAGACTTTATTCCACACTTTAGATGTGTATCAAGTACGACTTTATCCACTAGTGGAATAAAGTAACTTTATCCCACCGCGTAACAGCTTACTACGTTTAACCGAAAGCACATTTGGGTGACGGTTAAATGTCAGTTTAATTTTTAATTAAGTTTGGAATAATTTGGGCTTGTGATTGTGGATACTAGTGTGTGTGGATAGTTATTTATGCAGTCGTGTGTTAGGTAGCGTTTTATCCACGCAAGAATGTTTAATTTTCTTAAGTGGATAAAACGCTACCTAACACACTCTTACAATAAATAACAATTTCTTCTCCGCTTTAAGTAATTCAAGTTTATTATTTTGATTTTACAGCCGCAACCGGAAGAGATATACGAGATTTTCGTTGTTAACAAAAAACAAATCGTCAAGTTTTTATAAAAACTTACTACAATTTAGTTTCTAGTATGGCCATAGAAAAGTAATAAGCTATAGAAATAAGAATGTAATACATATTTTGTTATTTGTTTTGTACAATGCAAATTGCCTTTTCAACAATTATTTCACCCATGCAATAAAACATTATTTTGTTTGTTTTTTTTTTTTAGTTATACAGTACATATAGCTCGTCCTATACAGGCTGTATCAGAACTCGCACCCCAGAGAATAATTTCAAGTAAGATAAATAAATTGACATTTATTTTTGGACATTTGGCATTTTTTATGTATATTTAATGATACTGACGATCTTGTATATGTTTTTTATACTTATTTAGTAAAGATACAAAAACTTTGCCAAAAAAGGCACAAATAACATTAAACAGAGTTACAATTTAGGACACAACTTACTTGTTTCCTCTTTTAATAGCCTGTAGCAAAATAAGTTGGAAAATTATTTTTCCAACAGAAATGAAAAGAGTAACCGTGCAAAATTTAAACTCTCATAACTTCGGAATTTTTATAGATAGATTTTTTTTAAATTTTTTCCTTGTTTCTAGTATCCTACCTTACACTTTTCTCTGGGGCGCGAGTTCTGGCACATCCTGTATAGCTGTCGCCATTTCTGTCACTTTTTAAAATGTTTTTTCTGTATGAAATAATTAAACCTTCTGACTCAAAGTAGAGTTCAGTTTCTGACCAACTTTTCCTTAAAAAATGCAGTTGCTATGTTGCCAGTGTGCCGCCAGCTATAGCACGATGTTTATGTTTTCGGATTGAGTTTGCAGAAGGATTTTTTTTTATTCTTTAGGATTTTATGACTTATTTTCCTATTATTTTAATGACCTATTTTATGTTTTACTTTCCTTTTCTAGAATCCTTTTTTTCATTTTCTTACATCCTAAAATCCGATCTCTATTGATGACATTGGAAACAGAATGTAAAGTGTTTTTTTCATAAATTTGATGTAATTACCATCAATAAATTACTACTGAATTAGTAATTTGATAAATAAATCATACAATGAACTTAACATTAAGGACGATATACAAGCTATGTTCTTTAGTTTATTTTTACAATAGCAAAGAAAGCAAAGTTTCTCGAGGTCCCAGAAAAATGCGAGTATTTTCTAGAAAAAATATAATATGAAGATAACATATTCTTTTTCAAAATAAAAATAAAAACTCGTGACTGCAACAGATAACTAAACTTAAACCCATGTAGAGTTATGCAAATATGTAGTATTAATTTGTTGGTGTTTGTGGCAAGAGTCGTCCACTTTCTGTTTCGGTATTCGTAAAACGCGTCAGGGTGGGTCGCGTAGTGCTGCATTAAATTAGATGTAGTTAGTGGACCTCATGCTTCACTTGCAGGGGCGATTTGGCGTGCCTTCCGAAAGCCAGTCCGGTGCCAGCAACAGTTACCAGTCCGTAAGTCCGTTCAACGTATGCTAACAAAGTATCCCTATTGTTGGATTTTGATGTGTTGGTGTACCATCGGTGTCAGTCAATGTGGCTTCCCAAACTTGCTGCCTTTAGCTTTATCTCAAGAGAAAATCTATATTTAACACTAGTCTGGGCCTACAATTCTTCTTTCTACATCCTTCACGATATGTTTTAGCAGCAAGGTGGTCCAAAACATGATCACAACATCAATGAGAATGTTTTCGTAATTCCACACTTGCTCATTTCCTCTGGATCGTTCCGAATTATGACTCTTATAGTTGCATCCAAAGTGGTAAAATAATTGTAGGATGTTGCATGTCGTGTAAAAACCAAAACTTTCACCAGTTATACATCTAAATGTTGCACCAGTATCTTGGTGAGCAACCTTCGTCCAGTCTTTACTCATTTCCGATGTTGTCAACACTTTATAACAGAGATTTTTGTTCAGAGTGAAGAAACCAAGCATTGCGATCGTGGCCGGAGCTTCAACTTCGGAGGAGGTATGTCCTTGGGAAAGCGGCGAACCCCGTTCTAGAAAAAACTCGACGCAACTTGACTCGGGAAGCTCCTCGTCGGATATAAGCGTGGCAGTGGCGGAAATCTCCGAAAGAGTCCAGCGAGTTTGCACTTTGACTCAACAGCACACCGTCGACGGCAGCAGAAAACTCTCGACCTCCACCATCGACCCTCCTCGGAGAGCATCCGTTTCTGTGCCAATCACTCACTCAACCACCGGAGACTCCTCCAAGCGGAAAGTGTCTTCGTTCGAGGACAACAGCTCCGCCGCTACTAGCACGTCGTCATCGGTGTTTGTTATTCCTAGTGACGCAGACAATAAATCTGAAGAATGCACTAGTACTAATAAAACTGTTGTTAAGAACCACGGTCTTGCAAAGGCTTGTTCAGTGACAGGAGCGAATGCACCCATTATCAGTGTCAGTTCGGTGGCCGATGATTTACCGCCCGATAACAAAGCTGGAGATGATGAAGTCGAACCGACCACTAGTCAGCAGGAACCTCTAGCACCACTCGCGGAACCGGATAGTGAATCACCAGCCAGCGAAGTTCCTCCTTCTGAACCCATCACTGAAGTCGAGGCCGACACGGAAGCCAAGAGTAACGACGTTTGTCCGTGGGAAGACGAGTAAGTTCTAGACCAGAGGCCACGGTTTTCGTGAATTGGGGCAAACACCACAAGTGCACACCACATCCTTAACCTCGCTCTATCCTATAATAAAATAAAAACGAGATTCTGGGCGATTTTTGTTTATCTCACTCACCACTGTGACTGTAACTACGCAAAATAAGAATCTTGTTTATATTTACTTTTTAGATATCTATCTTATGTAATTTCGTAATCAGATTATTATTATTAACATAACTAAACGAAATGGTAAAAACAGACTTCAAGCTTCTTTTTTTATACTTTTGAAAAATCGTAAGAAATTACGACAAAAATGTAAAAATATGAACATTTTATACAGTCTAATAAAATCTCTTCAAACGAGATATTGTTAAAGAAACTTTAACGGTAACATAAAAACTTTTATTTATATCATTTTTTCTTTTTCAAATAATGCTTGAAATAATTAAAATAGATGACGTGCATATTGAGAAATTTAATAAAAATATCGTATGACCAAATAAATTTGGGGACGAAATCAACTGTGAGAAAAAAAATTAAGATTTCTAGTCAAAATAACTCCGCCTCGTACTAAAAGACTTTTTTCAAAGGCAGAAGTGCCACAAGCTGTGACTTGTTACGAAATAATTCAAAACAATATAAAAACAAAGCTCTAATTTACAGATCGAATTATCTTTGATTTGACAATTTGTATCAGTACAAATTTTTGTAATCAAGAAAAGATGAGTCTTTTCCGGACTCAATAAAATAGTATGTAAAAAAAAATAAACAGTTTTTCCGGTCGAAAAACTCAATTTGGTTACTATGGTTCAAAATTTTTTTAATTAATAAGAGGTGTGAATTAGTTTTTTAGGAGCTTTAACAAAAAATGTCGTTTGTAACACGTACCTAAAACCTTTCTGCCGACTCATCTGCTATTCCAGACTCGGATTCTCCTCGTCCGGAAACAGCATCGATTCGTCCGCAATAAACTGTATTTTAGGTACTTGTAACAAAAATAACTATTTCAGAGCCCAAATTTATTTGATTATACATTAGGTAGGTAACAAACAAAAAAGTTGTGCACACGCTAAAGTAATTGCAGATAGTGAAAATATGTAAAACACACGATTACCTGCCTATAAAAAAAACACAAAAAAATGTATAACATAATATAGAATTTAGTAGTGTCAAAAATTGAAAATACTTATGTACTGCCAACCTAGTGAAAATGTTTTCAAAATGTTTCAGAACTCGGGCACCACAGAAAAATTCCAAATAAGATAAAATACCAAGAACATGGAAAAAATGTTTAAAAAATTCTGTCTGTCAAAAATTGTTGACATTTATTTTTTGACATTTAACATTTTTTTATTTAAAGGAGCATTAAATTAAATGTTGTTTAGAATGTGCTGATTACTACGGACCAAAATTTCACATTCTAAATCAACATTAACTTTAATTCGATTATGAAACTAGTCCTAATGATCTTGTATATGTTTTTTTATAATTATTTAGTAAAAGTACACAAATTTTGCCAGTAAAACCACAAGTAACGTAAAACATAGTTACAATTTAGGATACAGCTTCCTTGTTTCCACTTCTAATAGCTTGTAGCAAAAAAACTTGAAAAATTATTTTTCTATTTTGCCTCTGAAAGAAAGCTTACTTCGATACCAAAACCGATGCTTTCATAAGCCATTTCAACTAGAATTATAGCGTTGAAATAGACTGGTACAATTTACTTACTAGAGGTTGGTAATGGTGATTTTCAGCGGCTTTCTGAGCGATTTTTCTTATTTCATTTTCTTATTTCAGGTGGTGTGCATTAAATTTTTGCAGTATTCATTGTTAATTCAACAAAATTTTGAAAAATCGACTTTTATGTTAAAAAAGGACGTAAAACGCACAAAATAAAAAACTTGTTTTATATGACATTTGTGGGAACTCGTTCTTCCACAAAACTTGCCTTAAAAAACGCGTTCTTTATTATACTATTTTTAGCAGAAATAAATACCCGCATAATTTCGAAATTCTTATACTCACATAGAATTTTTTTAACATTTTTTTTTCATGTTTCTGGTATCTTTTCTTATTTGGTAGTTTTTTCTGGGGCGCAAGATCTGAAACAGCCTGCATGCGAGTATTTGTGAAAACTTTTAAATTGAAGCATCGTAATACGAAGTGATCCAGAAAGACTGAGTGAGTCTGTTGGCAGTTTGAAACACTGCAACCGGATACGGTTTTGCTTGAGAAATACTTGACGTACAACCCCACAAGACTGTTAAATTCTTCTTAATCAAAAGCGCACTCTAATGGTAAGCATTAAAAATTAGGTTCAGGATTGCCAACATATTCAGTCATTGTAGATCACTTTGTAGAATATTTCTACTATGAAAAACTTGTTAATTTTTTACTTATAATATCGATCAACAGTGTCAGAATCAGAAAAACCTACGTAAATCCGCTAGGTACGGTGTCGGATTATGAAATTTCGTAGAAAATGAATTTTTAAATTTTGATTTTCTCATTATTCCTTCGAAATTTCTATAAAACACAATAATAACCATAAAACATTCTGACGTTGATTTTTAACCTTATCTTCCTTTCTTGTGCTAAATATTCATATGGGGTGTTTTCCTATCCACGAGAATCGTTTTTCCAGCAACCCCGTCAAGCCAAGACCTGTTCTCTCACTGCATCAGCACAACGCACTTTAAATTCACCTTGAGTAGAATAGGGGTAGGCATTAAAATTCTAGATATACTGAAATAATGAAATGATTTTTGGAAATTTGCAGGGAAACGTGTAAGGTGGACACGCCCTTCGTCAAGACTTATGCTACTCTGGGCTACCTTTAGCTGTCTTCGGGAGAGCTACCGCAACTGTCAAGAGATCAAGTGACGTTTGCTCACAACTTTTATTTGATTTTTTTAAATTGATTCTATTTAAATTTTACCTATCAAAAGTTTGATAATCAAAAAACGAATTTAATTACATATGTCAGGTTTAATGGGGAAAAATGATTCCAAGAGACAGTTTCAAAGGCAGGACGTTAACTAAAAGAAGGATTTAAATTTTTCAATCGGTTTAGGGCATAACGGAATGGTAACAATGTCGGCATTAGAAATAGACTTTCTTGAGCCCTTGGTCATTATCTGATGTTGACATCTTCACGTTTCGCCGTCCCCTACTAAAGTCAGAAACTGCACATGATTCTTCTATAACAGTACACTCTCAATATAAATACTTGGCATTGTCGTATTATAATTAATATAACTGTAGGTGTTGAAAAAATTATAAAAAATGGATAAGGTTGATTAACGGTGCAGTTATCGACTTTCAAATATCCACATAAAAATTGATGTTTGAACACTTTCGTAAGTAATCGAGCACAATATTCTCTTAATGTCGTATCGTTGTATTAGATTATAGAGCATTTAATTATACGTATAGTAGACTAGTGGTGTATCAGTGTCTTCAGTGCAGTTTCTAACTTTCACAACACTTTTGGCCAATTTTCCAAAATTCTGATCAAAACAATTTTTTTGAGATTGTGACTCGCGAATGGGAAATTTTCCTTTGGAATTATTTTTCTTCCGAAGATTTTTTTGTTTGAGTTGCCGAAACTTCGGAAAATTAATGATTGTGAGCAAACCGTTTCCAAGTTAACTTAAATGTATCCAGGCCATTTTGATGAAAAATCTTGGCCTATATACGTATTTGTTGTTTAAATAAACGTAGGTTGACTGTTATTGCTTGACACAAAAAATGTTTAAAAAAATCTCATGGCCTCATTAATATTGGATAGAAATACCAGTGGTGTATATAAAACCCTCTGCTTTAAGCTTAGGGTTTCAATTATGAAATACTCAATTAAAGTTAACATTATATTTAAACATGCAATGTTACTTATTGAAGCTATTTTTATGATAAATGTTTTCGTCTCTTTAGAATATTGTGGTAAGCGTCAAAAATATATATGCTGCCTGACAGTGAGAGAGTTAGTGATGTATATAGTTTTATAATAATAGCTATTATAACGTATTATTAAAAATGTTACCACTTAATGTCCTAAAAATATTTTATTTCATAGAATTGTTGATAGCCAATGTTATTATAAAATTATTGTAGATTAATGAAATAAAAAAATGTGATTTAATCTTGTGAGTCTTATTCCTCATTTCCAATTCTTCTCACACCCCAGGTTAACAATTGTAACCTTTAAATGAGACAAGTCAAGTAGTCAAAACTAGATCCAGTCACTCCAGTCTAAAAACTGCTACCACCAAATCGAAAATGAAGACAGCAATAATTTTAATAACACTTATATTTCGTAAGTCACAGAATTTTTTTAACTTTTGAACAAAAATATTAACCTAGGCTTTTGTCACGGTGAGTCGGAATTCGAAAAAAAAATCGAATTTTTGAAGAACATCGATGTTCCCGATATTGAAGACTTTGATATAATTCGAGAAAAATGTGAGAAAGAAGGAGGCAACGGAACCTACGACAAACTAAAGGTACCTTTAACTACAAAAAATCATACGACAAACTAAAGGTACCTTTAACTACAAAAAATCATTCTTATCAATACCTTTTAGGTATCTTTTGACACCATTGGAACCTGTATCAACGATTTTGTTGACATAAAAATTATAAAAACTGAAATAGAAAATTCGAAAAAGACCGGAGCTTTGGATGAAGTTTTCGGAAAATACTGTGCCAAACGCTTCAAACTTGCAACATGTCTTGAAGACTTCGTTAACAATCTTCGCTCCTGTTTGAACGATGAAGAAAAAAATGCCCTTAATATAACTACAAATATTTTAGCCCAATTAAGTGAATTCGTTTGCTACAAAGATGGCGACAGGATTGCTAGTAATTAAGTAGGTGGGAAAATGCTTAAAAAATTACTTCAAATTTCAGTTTTTTTTGCTGAGGGCGGAACCGAGTGTTTCAAAGCTCGGGCTCAAGGCATCCAAAATTGTGTCAACGCCACACTTAAAATTATCCCTTCTGGCTTTAATTCAAATCCGTTGCAGAGTCTACTAATTGATAAGAAAAAATGCGAGTAAGTGTTCAATGTGAATTTTGGGGTATAATCGAACAAAATTGTAGCAATTTAAGCAAACTCCAAGACTGCATGGTTGAAGAATTGGAAAAGTGTTCAGATACCACTCCTGCGAACATTATTGACGCACTTTTTAGGTTTATTAAACGTTCAACTTGTTCCAAGAAAAACAGGAGGAGCATAAGTTTTCGTATGTTGTTAACAAATTTTGTTTAAACAAACTAGTGATTTTATTACATAGACCGCATTTTGAGAAGAAGTACACTGGGTTTCAAAGACATCACCAATATTACAGAAGTGACTGATCATTTTATAAACTTATACAAAAAGAAATGTATTCAAAATGTTCCCAACTTCGGCTTGAATTCCCCCATTTATGTAAAAACTTCAAATTCGTCAATTAAAAACCCGATCGTATTTTTGTAGAAATCTTTCATACATATGGGAATTTGTCTCAATATCTTAAATGAAGACGGTAATTTCACGACAGGTTTGACTTTAGAGAAACATCAACTAGATTTTAAAGAATGCACTGACGATTTTGTCGAAAAAGCAGAAATGTGTTTTGGCAAAGAGGAAAAATATTACCCCAAATTCATGCAGCAATTATATTTTAGCTTATCGGAGTGGGCCTACAAACATAAAGATGCGATAAGTAGGTCATAGAAAAAATATTATTAATTGTCAATAATTTCCACAGCAAACAAAACAACGATGAATAAGTTTAGTGATTGTTTTAAAATTTTGAAAAGACCAGAAAACCGAACACCACTAACATATTGTTTTTCCAAATGGCCTGAACCTCAAATATGGAAAAAAGAAGTCATATGCGAGTAAAATTCATCATTTTGTGATAAAGACAGATAAACTTTGCAAATTTCAGGATTCGGATGAATTTCGCCGCGTGTGCCATTGATATAGTCAAGAGAAAGTGCACTCGCGATTATATTTTCGATGAGTTAACCGACGATTTCATCACTGCTTGGAAAGCTGTTTGTAAACCAAATCAGAACTAGAATGTCATTACATTTGAATTTATTGCTGAATTTAATATTTAAACTATGTATCGAACGATAAATAAATTAACCTTTAATCATTCCAACACTTTTTATTGAAAGAACCTTATTGCTTGTTATCGGATTGATCTGGTTCTATTTCTATTTACTTTGTGGCTCTTAAGTAAAGGACAAAAATAAAAAGGAAGAAAAATATGCATAAAACAAATAAATAATAAATGATACGTAATGTCTGGTTCAAAT